AGGGAAACACAATAACAACCAAGAAAAATAAGGTAGATATTTTGGAAGAAGAAGGCTATCAGTGATCTTTCTGAAGTCTAGGGAGTAAAAATGAACTCTATTAGCGAGTAAAAATGAGCTACCTTATAACTTTTGTTTTAAAATAAGTCTCTTCCTATAAGATCAACATTTTCTTCTAAAGAAATAGGGTTTTTTTACCTTTATAAAAAAAATAGAAAAATATTTGATATTGGACTTTTATTGAAGCTTCATATGGCAAAGATGTGAGAAATTTTGTTAGATTTTTATTTAATATTGACAATTAATAAGCACGCAAAAAAGGCAGAGAAAATGTGTAATAAGCATGCAGCTGGCTTGTTGGTTGTAGCCGTGTTGGTCTAAGGACATAGGCAGGTAAGGTTCCTTGGGCAGATGTGATATCTTTTATTAGACCAACTGAGTAGTTGGAAAAAAGTTCTAGGGAAACTTTTGGGTGCACTCACCCTTCTTCAGGCATTGGGAGTCTCTGCTGGTCTGAGACTCCAAGGAATAAGAGAAGCTAAAAGTGTGGGAGGATATCAGTGAGAGTGTAAATAGGTAGAAGTTAGAAAAATAAAACGTAAAGCAGGGGAGAAAAAAGGCCGAAGGGAAACGCTACAGGGTAACAATACAAGGTAAAAAAAAATGATGGACTCAACATCTGATTCACATGGTACCTGCCTGATCTGACCTCTTAGATTCTTCTTCCCACCCACCAACCCTTTTCTCCCATCCCCTACTTTTCTGACCTTTGTCTTCTTGATTTTCATCTATTTCTTTGCTCATTGATAGCCTCTTTTTACCTTGTAACACTACCACTGTAGTGTTTCCCTTTGGCCTTTTTTGTCCCTGCTTTCTACCCCCTCCCTTCCCTGCTTTACTGTGTATTTTTCTTATTTCTACCTATTTATATTTTCACTGACATCCTGTCATACTTTTAACTTCTCTCATTCCTGTTTTCCTGATCTCCAACTATTTCCTTTTTCACAGACAGCCTCTTTTCTACCTTGTATTATATCACTGTACTGTCTCCCTTTGACCTTTTCTTTCCCCTCCCTTCCCTGCTTTACCTTTTTGTCTTTCTAATTGCTACTTATTTACATTCTCATGGACATCCTGCCACACTTTTAGCTTCTCTCATTCCTCAGAGTCTCAGACCAGCAAAAACTCTCTATGCCTGAAGAAGGGTGACTGTGCTCCAAAAATTGCGAAGACCTTTTTTCCAACTACTCATTTGGTCTAATAAAAGACATCACATCTACTCCAAGAACCTTGCCTGCCTAATATGCATACATGTACTCATATCTAGAATGCAGACCGAAGGAATTATTTTGGCTATTTTGATAGATGCTCCTTAATTTCTTTATCTCTATAAATTCTGTAGACTAGAGGGTGCCACTTGGTTTTGTGTATTTGAAGATTTTGATGGAAATCTTGATTTGAATTGCTTCTTTCCAGCTAATGGCAGAAGTATAGTTAGAGACTTTCAAAAGTCAAGTATTTTAAAGACCTAATACTAGATAAGCCTTAGGTTTCAAATTTATATTTTGTTTTATTATTTTGACTGAAAGCATTTGTCTGATTTAATTAATAAATTTATATAATATGACATAATTAATGATATTCTAAATTTTCAACAATATTTTCAAGGAGAGAAAATTTCCAAAGTTTGTAGCGAAAGAAATGGAGGGCATGTATATAGAAGAGTTGCGGTCTTCAGTGAATTTGTTAATGGCAAATTTGGAAAGTCTTCCAGTGTCTAAAGGTGGCCCAGAATTTAAATTGCAGAAGTTGAAGCGATCACAGAATTCAGCTTTCTTGGACATAGGTGATGAAAATGAGATTCAGCTGTCAAAATCTGATGTGGTTCTCTCATTCACACTAGAGGTAAGCAGTCTTTTTATATAACAATTGCTACCATTTTGAATGATTCTAGGATAGTTCTAATTTTTGGTTGCTTCCTCTTCCTTAGTCCCCATTATGTTTGGGGGTTACATTTTGTCTCCTAGATGATTAGGATTTTATCTGCAAATGTACGTACATTTTCTCTCAAACTGTGGGGTTCAGAATCACAACGATATTGTTAAGGTGAGTCTTGCTTATAATTATCAACCTAGTGCGAATCTCATACTGATTTATTAAATTTGTGTATATTTTCGCCAAATTAAGATGAAGGTTGTCTGATCAATTCCTTCATTTTTTTAAAAAAAATTTCAGTTCATTTTGGCTTTTGCATCCCATCATGTTCTTTGTTTCAGCCCACCTCCAGAGCTTCTTTGAGATTAAGAGAGAATTTGAAGTGTCCTTACTTTAATCTGTCTCATACTCTGGGACAATATCATCATGTTTATTTTGTTTGATTTATTTTGGGAGTACAACTAGAGAGAGTCAGTTCAGAAATCTACTCCCCTACTTCATAATTTTAATTCCTGTAAATCTGCCTCTACATATGTTGGAATATGGTTCCATTATTTGTTATGGATTCAAAGCATGGAAATTTATAAACAAATTATGCATTTTATGCATTGGTTTGTAAAATACACATTTAAAAGAAGAAAACTGTAGTTCAAAGTCTCCATATTTTTTAATTATAGCAGCAGTAAACAAATATTTTGAAACTTTTTCCTGAAAAAAGTATTTTTCATTAGGCCACCACCTTCCTTCTTAACTCCCTAAAACCACTCAGGAAAAATGTAAGCTCCCAGTTGTGCAGCCTGATCCAGAGGATCACTGCCTCCATAACAAGCCAAACTGACTTCAGTAAGAAATCACAAGTGTAACTGCTTCCATGATCAGCAGGGATCCCAGTTTTCACTGACTAAAAAAAAAATCCAAAATTTTCTGAGTTAAAAAAAGCCCCCAAATTCACATTTTTCTGTAATTAAATGAAACACCCCGATAGATAGATAGATTTCATAGACATTAGGGCTGGACGGGACCTTGCAAGTTCATTGGGTCCAGCCCCCTGCCCCAGGGGCAGGAAGTCAGCTAGGGTCAAATGATCCCAGCAAGATAGGTATCCAAGTGTTTCTTAAAAGTATCCAGAGTGGGTGCTTGCACCATTTCTGGGCGGGTCTGTTCCAGACTCTGGGAACTCAGATGGTAAAGAAGTTTTTTTCTTATGTCCAGTCTAAAACTGTCTTCCAGCAGTTTGTGACCATTAAACCTTGTCTTCCCTTGGGGTGCCTTGGTGAACAGACATTCTCCCAGTTCCTGATGCACACCCTATATCTACTTATAGGCTGCCACCAAATCCCCCCTGAGCCTTTGCTTCTCCAGGCTGAAGAGTCCCATGGCTCTCAGCCTTTCCTCATAAGGCCTGCCCTCTTGTCCTCTAATCATGCGTCTCTTCTCTAGATCTATATATAGATATAGCTAGATAGCTGTGTTTTAATCACTGTTTCTCCATGATTAAAACAAAACGCCACTCTCTCTCTTTAGCTTGCTCTCGCTCTCTCTCTCATACAGACATCTATATCTATGTAGATATAGATATATACATACATACATGCACTCACATGCATGTACACCCACACACACATATGTGTGTTATGTGCGCATATATAGATTATATCTATCTATATAGAGAGATGTATAGGTAGATATAGATCAATATAGTTATATCTATATCTATACACACACTCGTGTGTGTATATATATGTGTGTGTGTAGAGAGAGAGTGATATTTTGTTTTAATCATGGAAAATTTGGTGGGGGTGTTAAATTAGAAAATTTTGAATTTTTTTTTTATCAGAGAAAACCAGGATCCCTGGTGACCATTGCTTAAATATATTTATGCAAAAATTCATCCCAGGAAATACCAACCTCCCGTTTTGATGATGGTTGTGTGTAATAAGAGAGTGAAGAGTGTGTATTTTTCAGTTAGTAGGGAGCTTCTTTTATGTGTATTGCTTCTAAAGTGCCTTCAGGATATTGGAGAGATGCTTAAAATGGTGGACAAGGGTTCTGCTCAGAGTACGTAATTTTAAGGGTTCTTTTTAAACTTGTTTAATATACATTTTTTTAAAAGGCATATGCTTCTAAGACCATTGTCCTTTTCTGAACCATGTATTATTTTAAGACATGTTTTGTGTTATTAAGGAAACAAGTAAGTGACCTTTGTATTAAGCTTCTCTGGAACTTCCCCTTGCAGCACCTTGTTTACAGTTCTATGTTTGAACCTTGGAACCAAAAAAAAATCCTGTGTCATGTACCTGTAATCACAAGCATCCCCAGCACCTCATTTAAAAGGATTTATTATTTTTCTTGGAGAGGACAAAAAGTTTGAAAAGTTCAAAGTTTCCAAAGATTTTTATCTCCTATTAAGTTCCTAAGTACTATATAGATCTATGGAGCAAAGCTACCCAGCACATCCACAGGTGGCGGATAGTGGAATGACCTTCAGGGAAGCTTAGCTGTGAAATAAGCAAGGGTAAGTCTGATGAATAAGCAGTTGGAAACCAAGCAGCAGCACCACCAGGATGTAATGAGGAAAGCAGATAGTTATGATTTCCCTCCTGAAAAACTACATGTATCCTTTGACGGTGCTGCTACATGGCAAGTACAGGTCCCCACTATAATAAGCCTGCCCAGCTCCCAGCCATGGGTCTACAACAGGGGCGGGCAATTATTTTGGGCAGAGGGCCGCTTAACCAGTTTTGGCAGGCTGTCAAGGGCCGCATGGGTAGCCCCACCCCTTGACAGCCCCACCCCTTGACAGGTGTCCCGCCCCCTGGTCACCATCTTGGGACCAGCGTCCCAATGTCTTGGGACCAATGTCCCAGGGCCAGCACCAGTGGGGCCCAGAGCGGGGCATAGGCTGGCAGGGGTCTGTGAAGCCGGGCTGGGCTGCACCAGCAGGGAGTGGGGAGCTGGCCTGGCTCCATAGAGCCCAAGCCAGCTGGAACCCCACGCTCCTGCCACCTTGCTCTGGGCCCCACTGGCACTGGCCCTGGTACACCGGTGTGGGCCCTGT